ATCAGATAGGAGGTACCTTCTTTTGAGTTGTTGGCCAGGGTAAACAAAGGGACTCCCAAATAGTAACCCAGCATAGAACTGAAAAAATGAACAGCAGACCCCAATCTTATCTAAAGGAATATTGACAACTAATTGCTGCTAGATGAGGAACAGCTGACCCTCCTGAAATAAAGACCTCTAGATAGGCTGACTAGATTCAGCAGAAGGGCAAGTGGTGGGGATTGGCTGGGGTGCTGACAACACAGCAGACAGTAGCAGGGTTATCAGAATATAAGGGTTCTAGGTGGGGGAGGGAGGCTGTGGGAGGGCGTCAACTGGGAATTGGGTGTATAGTCGAATAAGATGGTTTGGGATGTTCTTTGTAATACACATAAAAAAAATTTTTTTAATATATTTGAGGAGGAAGCATGGAAGTTTACATCATGCTAATTAGTAGAGGTGATAAACATCACCTTTGAAATCCACCTGATGACTTCATAGACATACACAGGTGCCAAGGGTCCAAGTGCAACTGATTATGACTAGTAATAATCAGATGCATACAGATTAGAGATGCATGCTCCAACATCTCAGTGTTAGTAGCAAAAACAATGAGTCTTTCTGCAAGGAACAATATATTCTAAAGTGAAATGGAGATCGTTTTTAAAGAAACTCATTCAATTTTATGTCTTGCAGGGCTTATACTTAGTTCAGTGTTGTATAATTGTATTAACTCAACTGTGAACCTAGAAACTTGCACCCAGTTGTGAAAGATATGTACTCTTGCTCTGGAGTGTGTTACTGAGTATGTTAAATGTGTAATGAAATGCTTCTTCTAATCATGTAGTTATTAAAAATTTAAAAAATGATTAAAATAATAATTCTTCAAAGCATAAAAATTTGCTCCTTAATAATTAGTAGATGTGAAAAACATTACCATTGAAATCTACCTGATGAGTTTATACCCATGCTCAGATGCCAAGGAACTCAGAAAGTAAACAACTGTCACTAGTAATAATCAGATATGTAGAGATTAGAAACGCACGTGCAAACATCTTCATGTCAATTGCATTGAACATGAATTTTTCTGTTTGAAACTGTATTTTAATAATGAAATTGAGATCTTTTTTAAAGGTTAAAACTTCAATTTTATGTCTTATAAGGTTTATACTGAGTACAATATTGTATAACTGTAACAATTCAAGTGTAAAACTAAAAATTACAGCCAATTTTGAAAAAGATACATATTAGCTCAGAAAATTGTTATTGAATATGTCAATGCTATTGTAATGAAGTGCTTTTTCTAAGTACGTGTTTATTAAATAAATAACTGGAAAAAAAAACCAAGATCCTATGGGTATAAAATTCAGAAGACCTATGTTAACCTCCAAAGACCAGTGACCTGCATTACATATTTGATTGTAATTATAAAAGTTAACTGGCTTACATTTGGTGGTATTGTATTCAATTTTAAAGAGTATGACCCTCAGGGACTGAAAATAACCAGCCACAGATAATCATTGGTTTAGTCATGAAATTATTTCCCCAAGATCCTTGCAAAAAGGTCTTGATTTTTATTCAGAAGGGTAAACTTTGGCCCAATTACAACTGTTTGACTGTTAAAAGGAGGTTTCTCTAAGCCACCAGAACTTTAAACTTACTTTATCATTTGTTTTAAGAAATAACATTTCTGTTTAAAAATATATCTTGTAGCAGTATTTCCATGTGTTCATTTTCTACAGTGGTGAATTTTATAGGTGGGTTAATCCAGGCATTACACAACACTCCTCTGTGATACCATATGGGTGTGTACTATATATTCCCCAAGCAGCTCAGATCTCAAAAATGTATTCAGTTCTCTGTTACCATCCCAGCCTCAATAGCCAACCCTAAGAGGGAAGCAGGTCTTCCCATTGCTAGGGCCTCCTGAACCCTAGGCAGCTTTGGCATTTGCATCGGCTAAGTGGTCCCTGTGCAGTCAGCCTCTACAAGCTGCTTTCGGTGCCCTCATTTCCCAGCACAGACCCATCCCAGTTGGCACCACCTCCATTCACAGGGTTAAAGACTTGGTGAAGGTTCCAGAGTATCTCAAGAGCTAACCAGGTGAGCAGGCACCCAGGCTAGTCATTCTCCTTGCTTTGTCCAGCCACCACTGTGACTCAGCTTTCCACCTGCACAGCAGCAGTGAGCCTTTACTCTCCTTCTGAACGGCATTTATGCATTTATATGTTGTGGCGCTAAACCACCTAGAGCATCTTCTCACCTGTTTTTATTTGCCTTTTCTTCAACTTTTCTATTATCCTGCAGCCAAAAGACAAGAGAGAGAGAAGAGAAATACTGATTGTTGCCCCAAATTATGTTTGTGCCCTCATTTTTACAATTAGACTTTTTCTTAATTTTTTCAGTTATTAGATCAAACTTGACTGAGTTGCATCACCAAATAACTAATTGCTCACTCTGTGTTTTAGTCTCAGGGCATTTGATTGTCACTCTGTAGTGGCTCGAGTTCCATGAGAAAAGGGAGCACATGTGGACTGCTGCTCAGCCTGTTCCCTTAGCCACTCTCCTGCCTCCCCTCCCACTATATAAAATAAGTATTAGAATTGCTGTGATTTGCCAACTGTCCTAAAAAATATACAGTAAAAACTGGAAAATAGCCTCAACCAAGTTATTTAAACTCTCCAGAGAGAGGAGTGGTTCTTGGCACTATTATTACAATGAAAATTCAGTGTGCTCATATTTAACATTGTTTCTTTGCAGTTTTATAGTCCTGTTCACATTTTTTTAAAGGTCTTTCTGTTCCATCCCTTATTTCAAAGTAGAGGAAACAGAGGCACTTTCTTTAGCCTAATTTCTGATTCCATTATCTGTAAGACTTTCTCAGTTTTACCTAGTAAAAACATGTTTCAGGGCTAGAGATATGGCTCAGCATTTAGAGCAGTTGCTGCTGAGTCATAGGACTAGAGTTGGATCCCAGCACCAATGTAATAAGCTAGGAGTCCCATGCATACCTATGACCCCTGCACTGATTGGGGCGGAGACAGGAGAATTGCTGGGGCTTGCTAGCCTCCAGCCTAGACAAGAAAACACAAGTCTCAGTTTCAGAGAGAGGCCCAGCCTTGAAGGAATAGGCAGTGAGTGGTAGAGGACACCCAGTGCCCTTTTTCTGGCCTCCATGCACGCACACAGGTACACATGCACATCCCCCTCCATTTACACACACACTGCACACAGATAAACAAGTACATAAATCTTATTTTTAGAACACGTTTTAGTAACTTTTAAAATCTGAAGCACTCCTGGAAAAAAAAAAACCTATTAAAACTTTTCTCAATTTAACTTTTTCAAATACTTTATTTTTATTTTACATGTATGAATATGTTGCTGGCATATGTATAAGTGCACCGTGTTGTGCAATGCCTGTGGAGGTCAGAAGAGGACATCAGATCCCTGAAACCGGAGTTACTGACAGTTGCTCACCACCATATGGATGCTGGGAACCAAACCTGGGTCCTCTGAAAGAGCAGCCAGTACTCTTAACCACTGAACCAGCTTTTCAACTCCTCAGCTTAACTTTTGAAGCTCTCTTGAATTGAATTGATTTTCAGAGTGGAAAAAAAAAAACTTACCTGAACCTATCACAAAACCCAAGCCATATATTTATCTGTTATTATTATTATTATTAAAATACTGTTTTGACAACCCTCTCTGAAATAGTAGGCTCTTAAAGAAGGAAACAAAATGTATAACTTTGGTTTCCTACCTTTCTGCTCTGTGATGTGAGGTAAAGAAAACAGAATGGGATTTCACCAGGAACTGGTCTGCTTTAACTCTGCATTCCTATGTTTTCCTAGATATGATCTTTCTTCAGGGATTAGAGGTCATATTTAAAGTGGCTTTAAGTCTGTTGGGAAGCCATAAGCCCTTGATTCTGCAACATGAAAACCTGGAAACCATAGTGGACTTCATAAAGAACACACTACCCAACCTGGGCTTGGTCCAGATGGAGAAGACCATCAGTCAGGTAGGGTCCACTCCAGACCTTCCAAATGCCCATGGAGGCAGGAGTTGTTTCCAACCACTTTGTGTTCTGAACAGCATCTTGACGATGTCTGGCATAATGGGAGGCATATCACGGACACACATTGAATGATTAAAGTATGGCTGGGCATGTATTATGTGTGTTAATGATGAAGAGGCACTGGGAAGCATGGTGTGATGGTAAGCACAAGTCATCAGGAGTTGTTTGCATCTAAGAGACTTGGCTCCCACCATTTCACTCCTCTAAAATGCAAGCATTTGTAAATGTAGGGCTTTGTAACATAAATACTTAGATTTTTTTATTTCTCAGTGACACTAATTGAAATGTCCTAAAAGTGATTTTTTGCAGCAGAATTATGGTGGACTATTCATATAGTCTGAATATGCTCTATAGCATGCTTTTGTTTTGTTTGGATTTTGAAGTTGTTTTCAGAATTTATGGCTTCAGCACCTCTACTTTTCATGTACGGTAAAATCATTACTTTGAAATGTTGCAAGTTTTAGGGTAGATTTAGCTGGAAATTAAAACTAAACCAGATTGTAAATGGTTTGGGGTAGGTGTGGAAGCAAATTTCTATTCTGTAGAAAGAAGAATCTTCCAGTAATGACTACTGACAAAGACTGAGGTACTTGGAGTGGGGGGGTGGGATTCAGCTTTAGAAGTGTCCAAAGACCAAATGACTGAGTATGCTAATAAGGGTTCTCTATAGGAACAGAACCCATAGACTATTATATTTATAAAAGGGGGTCTATTGATTGACTTACATGATTAGAGATTGGATAGTATAATTGGCATCTACACACCAGTGTGCCAGAAAACCTACTAGCTGTTCAGTCCAAAACGCTTGACATCTCAGAAGGACCAATGATGTAGTCCTAGGCCAAGGCTAAAGGTTTGGAGCCCGCTGGAGAGTTGATGCTTAAAAGGCTGAAGAAGCTAGAATCAGGTATCTGCAAAGGGTGGCAGCAGTGATAGATGCACTTTCCTAAGAGGAATGGAGCTTGACCCACAGCTTCCTCCCCTCTTGCTGTTGTATCATCTGGGCCCCCAGCCTGTTGGATGGTACTGCTCACATTTAGAGCGAGTCCTCTTCCTTGTGGTGCTCTGCCACACACCAGTCATCTCTGGAAATGCCTTCACAGACACACCCAGAGCTTTGCTTTACTAATTAACCTCATAGGCATCTCTCAATCCAATCCAGTTGACACTCAAGATTAACCATCAAAGAGAATGTACTGGAAGTGGTTTCATCATTGAATTGCACTGCATAGTAAGTGGTTTCATCATTGAATTGCACTGCATAGTCACCAGTCAGCTCTCCTAAGCTTAATTAAAGCTTTTTTTATAATCCTTGTTGTAAGGAATTTCTAATAGTTCAAGACTGTCCAGTGGATTTCATCTGGATGTAGTTTGTGATTTTCATTGGCTATTTCTAAAGTTGCAAGTCTGGTCTGGAAAAAGGGAGGGGGTTTCCTATTGATTGTGACCTTAGATCTCTGCATACCTCATATGCCAGTGTGAAGGAGTTCTTGTCCACTCTGCACTTACCTCTGGTTATCTGACTGGTTCTGTATCTTACCTGCCTGGCCCAGTTCCTGAATGTGGCAGTCTTGGCATGTTGAATTCTTGCCTTTGACCAGGTCCTAGGGAATCTATATAGACTTGTGATTGTATATGCATATACGTAGTCATAACCAAATTCCTGAGGGCAGAGTGGTTAATTAGCTGGCACACTCACTGTGCTGAAAAGGGGAGAGGTGATGTTTCAAATACATCTGCCCCCGAGAATACTTCAGCAGCAGTCAACAGTACAGATCTCAGGGTAGTTTTCTTACAGGGTTTTTCCTCTGCTTTACTGTGTCTTAATACTGAGTAAATGCTTGATTCCCCAATTTCTGATGTTTGCATTCATCTATACCCTTCTTATAGGTTGTCCTTGCTGTTGCTTTTGTTGTTTGTGTTTTCTTGAGTTTTTGAGACAGGGTTTCCCTATGTAACCCTGGCTGATCTGGAACTCACTATGTAGACAGGCTTGCCTCTAACTTGCAGAGATCCTACTTCTGCTTCCTGAGTGCTAGAGTTAAAGGAGCATGCCACCATGCCCTGCCCCACTTCTTACAGTTTTTGTTACATGTTCTCGTGACCTCTGGAATAAACCCAGTGAGCCTTGGCTGCATAGACTGAATCTGTATCCCATGAGCACTGATTCTTGCCTTACCTCACGCTCCTAGTCATTCAGCCCTCAAAGAAGGAAAAAAAAATTCCCTTTTTCTGTAAAGAGTAGTATTTAGGGGCTAGAGAGATGGCAGGGGTTAAAAGCACTGGCTGCTCTTGCAGAAGATCTAGGTTCAAATCCCAGCATCCATATGGCAACTAACACCCATCTTTAACTCCACTTCCAGGGGATCCAACACCCTCTTCTGTCCTTCGTGTGCATTGCGTAACACGGGGTGCACTTACAGGCAATACACTCATACACATAAAAAATAATAATAATAATTCTAAAGAGTAGTACTTAGTGCAAGTGCCTAGTACTTCATCATACATCAGATACACTTTCAATGTTGGAAAGTGTAGGATGGACACAGCATGGGAGGACAGCAATTGTAAATCCATATACATAGTTTTGGTTGAGGCAACTGCTTTGGAACTTACCGTACAGCATTCCACTGACTCCTTAGCAGCTCTGCAACTGGTATTCCAATCTGGTTTTTTTTGGAGGGGGGGTGTTTGTTTTTATTTCTTTTAATTATTTTTTTCAACAATATTTTTCTTTTTTAAAAAAATAATTTATTGAGAATTTCATACATGTATATAAGGTGTTTTGATCAAATCCAAGCCCACTCCCTCCCCACCAACTCCTCCCATATCTCCCCATCACTTTTTTCTAATAACTTTATATATTCTTTCTTCTTTTCTTTTTTTATGGGGCTTTTTGCTACTCTAACATTCCCCCCTCTGAAAAGGTAAAACTAAAATCTTTTAAGGATTAGATAAAAGCTCCCAAATACTTTAGACAGTTTTGGCCTTTAGAACAGAGTATATTATTAAGAAGCCCAAGGACATTGTGACTTTTAGCCAAGAAACTGGTTACTTTTGGGGTCTTTTTACCCAGTTCCTACTTCCTATTCTTATCACACCATCCTCTGAAGAGGTTACCCAGCTTGTGGATAGGGAATCCGGACACAGACCACTCTGGCTTCTTCCATGCTGCACAGGGATGCAGGGTGAGGCAATTGGGGTACCCCTTCATTGACTGGATCTATCCAAAAGACTCCCAAACTGCATAACTCTTTTTTTGTGTTTGTGTGTGTGAAGGAGACATAAAGGCAAGAGTAATTTACAAGTTCTACATAGGGAACAAGAAAAAAGAGCAGTTTTCAAATGTTCATATGAGAGGCCATTGGAATTTCTTGACAAGGGCTTCCAAAAGCATCCCTCTATTGGGTTTCTCCTCATTTTCCTTTGGTCTGCAAAGGCTGGACTCGAGAGTGATAGATTCAGGATTTGCTTTGAGGTATTTTGATAGCTATTGGAGCGATTAGAATGAGTGTCAGTTCCCTCTCAAAGGCTTCTAGATAGGGAGAGAAAACAAATTTATCAGTCATTTTAGACCAATAGCAGGTTGTCTCCCTTAGCTACAGGTGGGCACTACAGTATTGCAGACCAAGATTTGAAGTCTTACATCTGAGCAGCACTTTCTGATTAGGAACAAAATCATCAATGAGAAATAATTGTGTAAATAAATTTTTATATGGACTTAAGCCTAATATCTGGGAAGTGTAATCCCTTGAACTCTTAAGGAAGTATACTGATCACTTACTCTTTGTTTATACTTTCTTTTTGTGTGTTTAAGACCATAAAGTTGGCCCAAATAAATCAATTTATTTTTACACTTAAGGTCATTTG